AAAAAAAAAAAAAAAAAAAAAAAAAAAAAAAAAAGAAAAATAAAAGAAAGAAAAAAGAAAAGAAAATTGTGAGCTGTGCTGTGGCTGCTGCTGGGAATCAGTGCTTGTCAGGGATGGACGGTACCTGGGGCACTCCGGAAATGCACAGTAAGTACTAGCTGATCATAGTGTCAGCGTCTCTGTTTAAGTTACCTGGTTCTCCTTTACAGAGAGTCTGAGCGGCAGTATCAAATGAAGGATCTCATTTTTTTTCGAACTTTCAAAACCAGCAACAAAGACTCCTGAAACAAAACAGTAACTATGAAAAACAGAAACACTGTGGATCGTGGCTGGATTTATAAATTCTCCCGAAGAATAAATTTATTCCCTGTTCAAAAGTGGGCAGCCTTGTGTCAGGAGATGGAAGTTGAATGGATCTCTAAAGGCTGAGTCTGCCCAGGGGGCAGAGATTCATCCCGTTTAGTGGCAGGCTAGGTGTATTACCTTTTTCACCGATCCACTCAAGGACTCGAGTGGCCCCTGAAAGGTCAAACGCGTGGAAATCTTGGTACCTGCAGGATAGGGTTACAAAAGTCATACGGTGCACGACACTGTTGAGCTGACCAAGAACTCTGCTATCGCTGCAGGATTAGCGGTCCAGGCTCTGGAGTCAGCTAGATATGGGACCGAGTCTTTTTCCCGCATTTTACTCCCTGTGTGTATCGGACCAGGCACCGACCCCATTCTTATCTGTGGAACTACCGGGGTTCCGCAGAGCTGATTTTCCCAAGATGAGATGATCACTGGAAAACCTGGGTTAGAGGCCAGCGCAACATAACCAGTCTTCACGAATGAGCGAGCATCTGGCCTCATCACTTGCTTACAAAAGGACCGAGTGTCCTAGAGCGAGAGGCCGGGAATCAGGACCCTCCCCGCCCGGCCGTGTCTGGGCACCACCCGCGAGCCCACCCCGGGATCCCTGCTGCCCTTGCCCTCTCCCACTGCCCACCAGACCCGCCCACGGGCCCGATTTACAAACGCAAGGACTCCACCAGCCAGTCCTCCGCGAGCTCCATAGCAACAGTCGCTTCCGCCACTCCACTTCCGCCAGTCTGACTTCCTGGGCAGGCGCGCGTTCTCGCGAGGAGAGGGCGTGGTTTTCCACCTAGCGGTGTCGGGAGCGCTCAGTGCCGCGCGCAGCCCTGCTGATGGGGGGGGGGGGGGGGGGGGGGGGACGGCGCAGAAACAGAGATTCTTCGATGTCAGCTCCAAGCAGGACCGGAGACATCAAATATGTCCTTGTTTTAGGATCAAGTACGTGCAGCCGAAGAGCTGTCAGTGTCCCAAAGCCAGGTACAATACAGACTCTATTGGAACTTAAGGTGAACAGTTAATTTAAAAGTTTGCGTGAATATGCTCGTGAAGGATACTTTAGGATTTTTTTTTTGAAAGGAATCTTGTTGGGCTAGAGATGTAGCTCAGCTGGTGGAGTGCTTGCTTGGCATGCACGAAGTTCGCTTTCCAGTACCGCGTAACTCCTACCCCACCACACACACACACACACACACACACACACACACACACACACCCGGCATGGTGGCGCACGCCTGTAATTTCAGTGCTCAGGAGATAGAGGCAGGAGAATGAGAAGTTTTAGGTCATCACCCGCTGCTACATAGGGAGTTCGAGGCTAGTCTACGTTACACAACACACTGTCAATAAAGTATCTGACACTCGTTTATATTCGATAACTGACACCCTGTACGGAGGTCCCTAGCACCAGAGAAGACTAAGAGCACAGCAGAGCTGAATTCCGGCGTGGTTCTCTCCTGTGCGTACCAGGTCCCGCACTAAAGCTTGGGATGAAAGATGGGGTGAGTGTAGCATAGCGCAGCATCGTGTAGGCAGCCCACGGTCGCAGGCAGAGACACTTTAGGTCGTAGAAACGGCAGTGAGCCAGAGCAGCCAACCCAGTATCTAACTGCCGAGAGTTGGCAATCATTCATTGCCCGGTTGGCGCCATGTGAGAGGTGATGGGGCTTTCCTGAGACCACCCCATTGACAAACACACCACCCTCCAGAGTCCTTTCCCATTTCTTCAAACGGGGGGGGGGGGGTGGGGGGTGGAAGGAGAGGCCCAGACAGTCTGTGTAAAGAGCAGTGTTTTTATTTGCAACTTCACCAGGGAAGCAAGAAACGCAGCAGGAGAGCCTTGCTGTCTGCATTGTCAACATTCCTGGTGACCCAACCAGAAATCACAGTAAGGGAGTAACACATTTGAGCTTAGGATCTACATCCGATGGGGCCACTGCTGGGGTTCCGTTCAGCAGCTGCCCTGGATGGACACATTCTAAGCCTTGTTGTGTTCCTCCCGTTATTGGCATCACTTCTTCAGTACTGGCTCCAGCGACCCCCTGTACTGAAGGCAAAAAGAGAAGACTTGACCGTGGAGTCCACAGACCATAGGGATGTGCTGGGTGTGCACAGAAGTGGGGCAGGAGCGGGCTCTCGCCTGGGTCTCTGAGTTGCCCAGAATACAGCACCAATTTCACAAGTCGTCATGACAACTAAAGGGCATCACGGACATCAAGTCCGAGGCACACGTGTCAGTGCCTCTCCTCTGCCACCCCAAGCTCCGCCCCAGACCTCTCTGATGCTCCCTCCCACTGGCCTTGGCAGAATTGTTTCCTCAGGGAGTCTCTGGTTGGTCTTGATATTTCAGGCCTTCAAAATAATGCCCCTTGAGGTGATGCTATCTCTCACTGGACCCTGCCAACCCAAGCTTCTTGCTCTTGCATCTGAGGTTCCTAGGATGTTTGCTGGGACTCTGCATGTAGACTTTCTCGAAGGACTGTCTCTTCTTGCAGCACATGCGCACTGCTAGGCACAGGGTGGGGGAAACAAACAGGGTCAGCAGCAGGAACTGCCAGGGGCTCGCAGACAGGTGGTGGAGCTCCTGCTTACCAAGAGCTGGCTGTGTGCCAGCACCATACTGTGCATGGGACATACACGGGCCCGTTGTCTCCATTTGATGGAGAACATGAGGCTTAGAGCAACATTTCTAAGGCCACCCAACTACTAAGCAGCTAAGTGTGACCCTGGCATACATGTCCACCCCATCACACTGTCTTCTGCACACAGCAGTAAGTACCAAGGAGAGTGATGTGCCCTGGGGCCAGCACCAGAAGCAAAGAGTGGAGGAGCTGCCACCCAGCCAGGCAGGACCCTAAGGCTTGAGCACCACAGGTTAATGCATTCCAGCCAGTGGTGATTTGATCGCACTTCTCCCCGGGGGACATCAGCTTGATGTCTAAGGACTCCTCGTAAACAATCCTCCTGCCTCAACCTCTGAAGTATCAGGGACTGCAGACAAATGCCCCATTCTTGACCAGGAGGGGACTTTGATTCTCACAGCTGGATAAGGAGAGGGACTGTTACTGACATCTGGTAGGTGGAAACCAGGGATGTGTTAAGCATCCTAAAGACACAGGACAGCCCCACAGAGCCTATACTGTCGAGAGCACTGGCATATGATAAAGCCTGCCGTTGGCAAGTGGACAGGCGATGGAAAGCGGGCTAGTCCTGAGTTCTCTTCTCCACTCTAGGACTCAGAGGTCACAGCTTGGACCACAGCACAGCCTGGAACAGCAAGGTGGCCTTGGCTAGTGCAGTGGGTGACAACTGGGATGGACAAGGGTGTGTGGGACAGAGTAGGAAGGGCTTGGACAATCCTAGTCTGTGACTTCAGGCTGGGGATGGGCAAAGAGGGGCTTCTTCCCCATGCAATCTGCTGCGTCATTTTCTGGTCTTTGGGTATTTGCTCTTTGAGCCCTGGGACCCTGGCTTTCTGGAATCCCTACTCATTACACCCTGTCTCGGCAATCCCACCCTGAACCCAAGCTGGGTGGCCCTTCTTCCATGTAGGTGCTAGGGTAGGGGCTCACCTGAATTGGGGAAGCTGGGCCACTGGGGTTCATGCCTAAAGCTTTCTTTAGCAGGAGGATTCTGAGCAGATCGTGACTCAGCTGCAGCCTCTGGTCCCTCTGGATGTTGGGAGGTGCTGTCCCCACCAGCGACAGGCTTGGGGGCTCCAGGCTTTTCTTGCCCATGAAGTGACCTAAAAAAGAGGTGCCAGGATACATGGAAGCTAGGGAGTGAGGACCCTGTGACCACAAGCAAGTTCTGGTCTATTCCACCTTTCAGCTCTCACAGAGGGAAGACAAACGTTCCTGCTCAGCAAGAAGCCACAGACGTCTGGGTGGAGGCAAAGCTGACTGCCTCAGCTTTTCCCGACCCGCTGGAAGAAGGGTAGAGAGCCCAGGACCAGGGAGAGATGCCAGGGAAGGAAGTGGAGAAGGTGCCTTGGAGACAGATGGGCAGAGAAGACATGAGTGAAAAAAACTTAGCAGTCTGCCTAAGGTAAGGGAGACCGACTGACTGACAACCAGAGCTAAGATGCTGGCCAAGCTCAGTCTTCAACTTGCCAAGTCTGTGGCTGTTGGATCTGACCTGTTAATTCCCACTTGTTAAACTTGAGCCCCCAGGAGTTTTGTCACTACGAGCCTCCAGAGAGTTGAAAGGAAACTGGGGACCGAGGAGAATGAGGCACGCTAGTTGAAGTCCCCAAAGACTTACCGGTCGCCCAGAGGTTGCCCCGGGGGTGCACTCGGATCTTGCTGGCTCGGCTGCGGGGCTCCGGGAGATCCCAATTGAAGGGAGCGACGCCGGCAGTGAACAACACGAAGAGGAGGAGACTGCGAAGCAGCCGAGAGCCCCTTGTCCGCCCGGTCATGGCTGTGCCAAGCGGGTTCTTCTTTGGCACTCGGAGCCCGCCTTCCAGCCTTTTAAACTACTGTCGGAGCAGAGGAGCCCGCTGGAGGCGCGCCCCGCCCCGGAGCTCCGCCCTTCTCAGGCTCCGCCCCCAAAGCCACCGGGGTTGGTCACTGCCTCACTGGAATTTTGGCAGAAGCCCACCGCAGTTTTAGTGCAACCTGGCGTGTGGCACCGCCCCACAGCAAAAGTGGTTCCCAAGACCCTCCTTCGCCAGATTTCTGCTATCTTGTCGTTTTTACAGCAGCCCTCAAAGCTTCTCCGTGAGGCTAAAGTGAAGCGAAAAGTCCCCCTCCTGGTAGTGTGGGTGTTTAGCATCACCTGACAGAGGAACTCCATAAAGGAATTCTGTCACCTCCTCCGTCTCAAGACATCTGACCCTTGCTGGCACCTCTCTGCTTTCTCACAGTTAGCACACGCTGGGTAACCTGGAAAAGTTCTGTGCCCAGAATGGGGATAGGACGATAGGGAAGGGAGCAAGGAGCTGTCCCCAGCAGTGGTACCACTTGGAGATCCTGGTCTGTCATAACGGCAGGTAGCAGACCTGCCCCGCGGGTCAGAGCAGTGGAAAGAGCACTGGGCCAGGGACGCTACTGTAAAATGGAAATAACCATACTGCTTATACCTTTAAGAGTTTCACATCTTTCAGTACAACCATTAAGGAGCAGCCCTGTCTTCTTGTGGAGTTGTCGTGACTGGTCTTGGAAAGGATCTCCAGTCATCATTGTCCTCACTTAGTGAGCGGGGCAGATATGTGCTCCAACCCCTGTACTGTTGAACTGTTCACTGCACACCAACATCTGGAGCACTGTGGGAGGGCCAGGAGGGGACACCACCTCCCCGCTACCAAGAGTTCATCTTCTCATTGGAAACTAGGTCAAGGCATGACTGATGGATGGGGTGTGAAGTCTTGGAGCCTTTCCTGGAACGCTCGTGGGGCATGACAGAACCTCCTAGCAATAATGGCACTTGCTAGCATGATCCTTTTGAGACAAGGTCTTGCTGTGTAGCTCTGGCTGGCCTGGAACTCACTATATAGACCAGGCTGAGTTGAATTTATAGTAGTCCCCCTGCCTCAGCTTCCCAAGTGCCGGGATTACAGGTGTAAGCCACCATACTTGGTTTGCTGTCCTAGCTCCTACACAGATAGCTGGCAGAGCAAGACCTGGCTGTCCATCACAGAAGGGGATCTGTGATGTTCCAGTGGGTATCAAAGGTTAACACATTAGGCATTTTCCTCAGCTGTGCTCTGCCTTTGTGTAGTGTGCATGTGTGCACACCCCCCCCACACACACATGTGGAGGCCAGAGGATAACCTTCAGGGGTCAATTCTTACCTTCCATCTTGTTTGAGGCAGGACTGTCTTGTTTCCGCTGCTTTGCCAAGTCATCCAGTTCAGAAGACTGTGAGCTTCTGGATTATTCTCCCATCCCTCCACAGGAACATTGATTATATGTATGTGATAGTACATACAGTTTTTCATGTGGGTTCTAAGAATCTGGACTGAAGTCATGCTTGCTGCAGCAAATGCTTTTCCTGCCGAGTCACCTCCCCAGGCCCCACCTTAGTTTCTGAGGTAGGGTCTCCTGCTGAAGCTGGTGCTTACTAAGACTGGTTGGCCAGTAAGCCTCTTGTCCCAGCACTGGGACCTCCCCAGCACTGGGATTTCAGGTTTTGGCCAACAACCCTAACTTTTTATACGAGTGTTGGAAATCTGCTTGGAAGGTTCTGGAGTGTGGCACAGGGGACAGCGACAGTCCCCTTCTGGCCCCGGCTTTTCCTTGCAGTCTTGTTGTTTCTCACCCCGAGCCTGACATTTACACCTCGCTGTTCCTTCACAGCTTAGCCACGGTGTTCAGATATAGCTCTCCTCACCTTCCTGCACGCATCATTCCCTCTGCAACCCCTCCCTCTCTCCTGCATCCAGCACACTCCCAGCCTCTCTTCAGTCTGTGAATGCAGAAACTAAGGGAAACTGTTGAGTGAGCGCTGCTTTCCTTAACCGCTTGAAGGAAGTTACTCGACAAGCCTGTCCCTTATGTTACTGGCAAGGGTCACCCCAGAGGTTGTTACTCGTGCGGACATTTCACCAGAGCCAGGCTTCAGGTCGGTCATGGCTCTTTTGGGGCACTGCCTCGTGCTCCCAAAGCTGTGAGAACAGCCACAGTTCTCCCTAGCACACACCCCTGTTTTCCCATGCATCACTTCAGTGCCAACTGAGTTTTGAGTTCTCAGGAAACAGAGCCAGTGGGCACTACCTCTCTAGTCTCATTGCTCTCCTATGGCTGACCCTAAGGCCGTATTCTGATCTCACAAGTTCACTTATACAGAAGACCAGCTCCGGGTAACTAACACATACTCGGTTCACGGCTTAGAAGAGGAAGCCAGGAAGCCGCTCCTGAGCTGAGCAGAGGAGAGCCAGGGATGCTATAAAGCCCTACAGTGAGAGCCCAGGCAGCATTCTTAACTACTGCATACAATGTCCATGCATTTAGGGGGACAGTTACATAACCAAAGTGATATGCTCAACCCCAAAGAGGCCTTTAAAAAGGTTAAATTCACTGCGGAGCCAAAGGCTGGTCTTGAGTTCAAACTGCTCTTGCTTCAACCTCTCTAGCACTGGGGTGTGTGCCAACATCACTCACTATCTAAGGAGGTTTAGAGACTTAGGAACGTGGTAGAGAATCTTTTTCTTTTTCTTTTTTTTTTTTTAAATCCAAGTGTTTTTTTTTAAATATTTATTTATTTATTATGTATACAATATTCTGTCTGTGTGTATGTCTGCTGGCCAGAAGAGGGCATCACATCTCATTAAAGATGGTTGTGAGCCACCATGTGGGTACTGGGAATTGAACTCAGAACCTCTGGAAGAGCAGGCAATGCTCTTAACCACTGAGCCATCGCTCCAGCCCCCTCTGGTAGAGAATCTTATATTTCTAAGAGACCTGATAATCTGAGCCACCCCGAGGAGGGGCTTTGCAAATGGAGGTTTGCTGCAATAGCCCATTCGACTTCCAAAGGTAGGACAGGACACACACCCAGGGTAATAACAGTGACACAGACCTCCGCTGTGCAAACTGACCTCTGCCTCTCTCCTCGGTAAACAGCTTACTCTGAGGCTTGTTAAATAGGAAACAACAGCTCTTCCCTTTGCAGTCATTGCTGGAACGGCTGCCGCCAAAATGAAGCTCAGTCCCTTGGTGACTTCTGACTGAAGCAAGCAAGCAGCGTTTCAGTGTGCTCTCTCGGTTTAGGAAGATGAGGTTGTCCCCTCTTTCCGATGAGCTGACACACAAGTGTAATGCCCCTTTGATCTCTGCACATTTGAAAAGATGATGACGCTCAGGCTATGTGAGACACTATAGAGACAGCGGAGTGGCGAGGTTGTCTGGTCACCTGCACTGAAAAGGTGCAGAGAGAAAAGGCTAATGGCACAGCTGTCCACATGGGCGTCCACCCCAGCAGGGTGGTCATCATCAGGCTAACGCTGGACAAGGCCGCAGAAAAGATCCTGGAAGGGCAAGCTCGGTCCCGTCCAGTAGGAAGGGAGGAGGGCAAACACAAGAGAGGAACGACTGAGAAGATGCAGGGGGAGAAGAACCTCATGCACGACATTCATTAAAGATGGCTTATGCGGAAGAAAACAGGGAAGGAAGGATTGCTATAAACTGTAAAGCACTTTTAGCCGAGCACCTGTTATGATCCTAGGAAATCAGGGTGTGCACGCACCAGAGGATGGCCCTGCAACATGCCCGGGACACTACTTTGGTTCCCAAAGCAAAATGCCAGCGCACCTACATCAATTCTTTTTTTTTTTTTAATATTTATTTATTTATTATGTATACAATATTCTGTCTACATGTAATGTCTGCAGGCCAGAAGAGGGCACCAGACCTCATTCCAGATGGTTGTGAGCCACCATGTGGTTGCTGGGAATTGAACTCAGGACCTTTGGAAGAGCAGGCAATGCTCTTAACCGCCGAGCTATCTCTCCAGCCCCCCCCCCCCTTTTTTTTTAAGAGGTCTGCCTGCCTCTGCCTCCCAGGTGCTGGGATTAAAAGTGTGGCCACCACACTTGGCTCTACACCTCGATTCATGAGCAGTTCTGAGAAAAGAACTGGTGTGTGAGGTCCTTCTTTCTGTGTGTTATTGGTTAATGAATAAAAGAACTGCTTTGAGCCTGTGGCAAGGAAGAACAGAACTAGGCAGGGAAAGCTAGGCTGGATGCTGGGAGAAAGAAGGGTGGAGTCAGAGAGAAGCCATGGAGCTGCTGGAGACAGATGCCGGTTGGAATTTTACCAGTAAGCCACAGCCACGTGACAATACACAGATTAATAGAAATGGGTTAAATTAATATGTAAGAGTTAGCCAATAAGAAGCTAGAGCTAATGGACCAAGCAGCGATTTAAATACAGTTTCTGTGTGATTATTTCAGGTCTAAGCTAACCGGCCACAGGAACAACAAGCGGCCTTCCTTCTCCAACAAAGAACTCTCCAGCATTCTGTTTGGGGCTTAAGTAAGTTGTCTGTCTAAAAGCTCTGATCAAAACTGGGTGCCAGCTAATTTATTTACTTGTCTGACATTGAGTTCCGAATATAAATTTGTCTAGCTAGACTCCTATATTAACGCTGGGGCCTGGTTTACCAATCCAAATAGATGGGAAATTAAAGTGACGGTCCTAGGGAAGTGGCTCTAAATTGAGAGTGGGTAGAAGCATGCCAGACACGTCTCAGACAGGACAGACGGCTTGAAAGTCAGATTCAATAGCGAGCTTTACCTGTCGATAAGAAAAGGGCGCTGTTTTTATCATACAAGCTTAAGGAAAATCAAGGCAGCAAGCTAAAATATTGTTGACTGAGGAGAATAAGAGACTGAGAGCCAGGGGAGTCAGAATAACCACGATACCAGATTTCTAGTTCTAAAGAGGCTGTGGGTGTTAGAAGCTTACAGAAGGCTATCATAGGAAGATGAGGTGGCTTTTCTGGTTTGTGTTTTGAGACTGGGTCTCGAGTAGCTAAGGCTGGGCCTTTAATTCCTGACACAGCTGCCTCCACCTCCCCTGTGCCAGGACGATTCTAGCTACACTGAGAAACATCTGGAAGCAGCCTCAGGACAGGGATGCTATGTGACACACAGGGCAGCCCGAGGGTCTCAGTCCTGGGAACTACTGTAACCTTTCCTTCCCTTCATGTCCAATCCGTCCAGCACAGCAAGGGCGGCTTCCTGCTCTGCACTACGGACTATGAAACCAGGAGTTGAAAGATACGAAGTCCCTCCAGCAGACAACAGAATCTTTCGCTACCTTAGGTTTTATGTAAGGCAACCGATTTCACATCTGGTTTTATCTGTCTCCTCTCCATCAATTACTACAGCTCTAACTTCTGTGGCTTCTATTTATAACACAGTACTAGATTTACCTGTACACAACAAAGCAAGTACATAAATTTAAAAAGAAGCACAGTACTGTAACAGGCACTGGGGACACCCAGGAAACCCAAACCTTTAGACCTGTCTCAGTGTCTAAAGGAATCAACTCTCACTCTAGTGGGGAGAGGAACACAGAGAAAGCCAGCGGCACGGCGACAGTGTAGAGCGGGACATGGACAGGGCACTGGCGGTCTGAGCAGGAAGCACTGGGCACTCCCGGCGCCTTCCTGGGATGGCTGTAGGATCCTATGTGGGAAGTGGGTCAGTACATGTCCTGCCCACTAAGGTCAGTTCCAAAAGGGCCTTGCTTGCTCTGTAGCCAGGACCTAGCTGAAAATCTGGCACCGCAGAGGTTAACAAGCATCTGCTGAATAGTGAAAGAATTCTCAGCTGTACCCCACATGGTAACCAGCAGAAGCGAAGGTGGCATGTCTCCCTGGCAAGTCCTATGTGGACACAGACTGGCGTCTAGGGAGGGCTTACAATGACTCCTGGAAGGAGTGTCTTCGCAATGTGTGGTAAGCCTCAGTGCACACCGCCTGTCTGCGCTCTATGTGCTACCGTACAGTTCGCGAGCTTCGGGCAAGGGGCTGGAGGTTGAAACACACAGAGACAGACAGAGACCTCTAGTCACTGATAAGAAGCCCTTTATTCAATAGCACCATGGAGGTTTATATACCCAACACAGTCAGGTGGGCCAACAAGTGAAAACCTTATCCTCTGATCCTCAAGGCCAAGGCAACACGTGCTGGTGAAGCAGAGCTGGTAAACAACTTTGACACAGCTTTCAGTAACTCAAATCAGAAGGAAAGTAAAGATCTCTAGCAGGGAAGAGCAGCTGAAGGCCAGGACTCCAAATGGTCCCAACAGTAAGCCCTGCTCTTTTCAGTCTCAATCTCATTCCTGGATTAAACAATGTTCTTTCTGTATCCAAATTTACTCTGTGGAAAGGGGTCATATCTGCTATTTAGCTCCTCACAGCCACCGGTGTTCTAGCGACAGAGAACAGTGATGAAGGCACAGGTGGAAGCCGAGACTCAGGGAGGGAGTCATGTCACCAGCTAGTGCGCTGGATCATCATCTCAAGCTCAACAGTGCCAGCACTGTCGTAAGGAGGGTGACTGCAGATTCTGGATTAATGTCGGCCCCACCCCACCCCCGCCACATTATGAGCAGCTAGTTGGACTTAATAAAACACTGAAGCAAGTACCAAAGCACTGTGCTAGACAGCCTCTGTGTAACTCCCTAGGAAAGTACACAAGCCATCAAGAAAGCCAAGGCTCTCAGAAGCCTATGACTCCCCAGGTAAAGTGACAAATGCCAACAGTGCCACCAATAAAGAGGACACAGGAAGAGTCTACAGGCATAAAGAAACAAGAAAGCAGAATTAACATTTAAAAAAAATAATCTGGAAAGGGTACATGCTGCTTAAATGGAACCATGGCGAGAGGAAGTTTTCAGATTCAAATTTGGCAAGGCCAAGAGAGAATGTACTTAGTAAATAACAGGAAAGTACAAACCACTTAATGATTCATGCGCTCTGCTCAACAACAACCCTGATCTAAGATCCTATGCTCTGCTTCCAGAGCATGATTATACTCAACATTTAATACACGCTGCTTCATGCTACTGGGGAAGCAGAAGACAGGGTCTATAAAATGAGGCCCCTGCACCAGACGAGCTCACAGCCCGTCAGGCATCCTGAGGCTATACCCCAAATCCAGAGCCCTGTGAAGCTGCCCAGAGGGACAATTATGTCTAAAGATGGAGAGACTCAGACACGCACAGATGAGAGAAGGAGGCAGTGTAGTGAAAACGCCAGGGAGGATGGCATGGGGAGGCTCCCTCAGTCTCAGCTGCATTCAGAGCCCGAGCCTCGCATGCAGCAAGGACAGAGGTAGGCTGAAAACAATAGGCACACCAAAGTCAGTAGCCACTGTGCGCACAGACTGGGTCAGTGAGGCAGGGGATCACAAGGCAGAGGACGGGAACAGGCATGGACACCACGACTGGTGCTCAAGCAACAGGAAGCGGTAAATGGTAATGCACGTGAATCACGACACGGAGATATGGGGCTTGCCAATGAGATGCACAGGAAAATACAACACCTAGCTCCTCCCTGAACATGCCAGAATTGGCTGAGCAGTTTGATGGACTCCCTAAGGAGCTTGGGTTCAGAGATGGACCGGTCAAGTCAGGGTTGTAGGGCTGGAGCTGAGGAAACGACGCAAGGTTGATTAGCGGCCGTTGTGAGGGCCTAAAGATCATCCTAGTATCAAATTCCAACTTAAAGTTTTACTGGCTCTCACCCCTTCTCCAATTCCTTCCAGGGTTCCCCTTAATCCTGCCAAATGCCAAAGAACTGAGAAGTTCCACTCAATTAGCAGTTATTAGTGAAGTCTCTTGTATTTGCTTTGGTGAGTGGGAGCTCACTATGATGCCCAGATGGTTTCCAATCATGGGCTCAAATGGTCCTCCTGCCTCAGCCTCTTGTGTGATTTGGTGTGTGCAGACATGCCTGGCTCATTTCTTAGTTTCTTTTTTTAAAGATTTTTTTTTTACTTGTGTATATGCACATGAGTGCAGGTAGCCAAGGAGGCCAGAAGGTGTGGGATCCTCTGGAGTTGAAGTTATAAGAAGTTGTAGGTGCCACGTGGGTGCTAAAAACCCAGGTCCTCTACAAAAGCAGCAAGTACTCATTACCCCAATGAGCAGACTGTATCAACCCCCTTTTAAAGAATTTTTTAATTTCTTATATTTACAAAGGGCTCAAAATACATGTACATATTTTTAGTTTTAAAGAGTTATTTTTTGGAAGATGTATTTATATATGTATGTATGTATGTGGATGCTTGTGGAAGACAGAAGGCAGTACTGGAGCCCCTGAAACTAGACTTACAGGTGGCTGTGAGCTGCCTCATGTGGGTGCTAGGAACTGAACTCATGTCCTCTACAGGAGCAGTGTGTGCTCTTAACCAATGAACCATCTTTCCAACCTTTGTTTTTTTGTGTATTTTGTCTGAATATAAGGATGAATATCATATGCCTGCAGTGTCCACAGAGGCCAGAAGAGGGCATCAGATTTCCCTGGAGCCGGAGATATAGTGGTTGTGAGCAGCCATGAGAAAGCTGAGAACACAACCAGGTCCTCTGTAAGAGCAGCCAGTGCTCCTAACTGCTGAGCCCTTTTTCTCTACCCCCCACCCCCCCAAAAAAAAAAAACCTCTTAGTTTTTTTTTTTTTTTTTTTTTTTTTTGAGACAGGGTTTCTCTGTAGCTTTGGTGCTTGTCCTGGAACTAGCTCTTGTAGACCAGTCTGGCCTCGAACTCACAGAGATCCGCCTGCCTCTGCCTCCCTAGTGCTGGGATTTTAAAGGCGTGCGCCACCACCGCCTGGCTAAAACTCTTAGTTTTAAGTCTTATGTTCTATCTTAAAAATTGGCTAATAGAGTGATTCAAATGTTTTTTAAATGGTCTGGCCACTTTTAAAGAGAAATTTAGTCTCTGTTAATAACAAGAGCATCTGTAAAGGAGGCAAAGGAGGCAGGGCACTGAGCAGGAGGACCACAGACTATGAGCGAGCAAGGAAGAAATTAAGTGATATTCTGCCAGGCTGGAGAGGCAGCTGGAGCTCATGCTCAGAGATGACCCTCAGGGATCATGAGGAAATGGAAGCCCCGCAGGTTGAAAAAGCTATCTGTTAAGAGTTAAGCATTAAGCATCCATATGCAAAGTCTGAAGAGTAGGCCTAGTTAATGGGTTTCGGATGGCAGCGTTCTCCATGGGGAAGGCTCTGGAAGCCTGTCTACTCCATTAGCAATACAGCACAGGCTGTCACCTCAGCTGAGTAAACAGAGTCTGACCACGTGCCCAACCGAAAACTTGCTTGCTCTGAGATTCCACATTAAACAAGACAGACAGAATTAGAAGATTTGGGACTAGTGCATATTGGCTTACCCTACATTCTGTTTCCCGGGTGGCTTCAAAATGAAAAGAAAACACAGTTGGGTTTTAGTCACAACTTCAAACTATCTCCTTAAGCCTGCATAGAGAGAATGCAGAGCCAGTCACTTAAAAGAATGGGTTTAGGAAATCAGAACTGCAGCGGGTACAATGCTGGTCTCCTGTGCCGCCAGGGCCTCCAGGGGACAAGGGTCAGGTGTTTCCACAGTCAGGTGAAGCTCTCAATCACAGCACCTGGGACTGTACACCTCTGAGTCACACCCCAGTGAAGAATCAATTGTGTAACTAAGAGATTTCCTATGAACGTCAATGGCTACACTGGCTTCACAGAAACAAAAACAAACCTAAACAAAAGCTCATTTGCTAGTATTTGGCCAACCTTAGCTGAAGGACAGTTCATACGAGAGCCTTGTCTCCTTTCTAGCTCCTTGAGACAGATCTCAACAGCCCGGGTTGCCTTGAACTCACAATGGAATTGAGGATAACCTAGAGTTGATCTTCCAGTTTCTGGTGCTGAGATAGTCCAGGTTCTGGGATAACAAGCATGTAATCTCCATGCTCAGCCACATCCAAGCCTGTGTAAACACAATGGGCTCTAATAACCGGCCAAGGAAGGCACAGTTCAGAAGCTTTCCCAACAAACACAATTCCGGGAAAGGGGTTCAATGTGCAAAGTCTTTTATTTAAAATTTTGAAAAGTGAAGACTTCTGACCACCTCAGTATGTGCCCTCCTGCTCCAAGGAAGGACGACTGTGAGCTCGCGCAGAGCTGTGTTTTCATCCACAGAACTCTGTAGGCACTTTGAAGTGAAGCTTGGCTTCAGAATACAAACACTGGGGGCTTTGGCTCAACCTTTAATATAAAAATTCACTGGTGTACAAAAGTGTGAAGAGTGAAATCCTGTGATTGAAAGTCCCCTCGAGTGCACTCCACGGTGCACATGCACCCGCCCACACATCCTCAGGTGTGGAAACAGAAACTAATGCAAACCAGTGCTACCAAGAAGCGCCAACATGTGTGTCCTCCGAATATCCGCCAATCACAGACCAGGATCTACTCCAAACATCCAGTAACAAAAAGCACAGCATCTTCCAGGAACAGCGTGGCCGACTTCTTACTCACGATGGACCAGCACAAATAAACCCAGCAGAAACAGTACTGCATACTAGAAAATGAAACAGGAGCACGGTCAGAGGCACTCCAACAGCTCTTAAGTCTCCAGTGTTAATTAACTCTTCTGTGACCAGAGGCAATGACTCAACTATATGATCATGCCTGCATGCTTTAACTGTAATCCTTTTAACAGTTTCCAACATTAAAGGAAAGCTACTGTGGGGGAGGGAACTGAATTTGGGGCCTCCTCCCCCATGCTCAGTACGTGCTGCTGAGCTGTACCCGAGACCCAAGAGCACTGCATTTCAAATCACACACATGGTAGGGCAAGCTCACCTTAAATTTAGGATAGTCATTCATGAGGATTGTCACAATTCCAATATAAGGAACAAATCTAGAACAAACAAACAAACAACTTATCATCACATAAAAATATCCTAACAAAGCAGCTGCTGACCTGTACTGGCTACTAATTACCAGCACCCTCCACAGAGTGCTAATTTTCAGTACAAAGTCCACTTGCATATATTATATTTGCTCCTTCCATCAGCCTGTTACAGGAAGTTAGGATTATTACCATTTTATAGATGAGGAAACATGATCACGCATCCAAGCTGTATGGTTTGTGTGTGGCACAGTTGGTATCTCTAATGACTAGGGGCTGGGTGTGGCCTCCGAGCCTTTGGGGAGCTGTCAGTCACGATGGAGAGATAAGGCAGAGCCCGACAGGGTATTTCAAGCAGAGCAGTCAGCGCACAGAGGAGTCTTTTTAGGAGTTCAGGGCTTCACCCCGGCCTGTGTAACTGCAGTCTGGTTTTGCCCTCTCAATCCTGATTGTATTTTTCAGACAGGATCTTGAAATGTAGCCCAGGCTGGACTTGAGCTTACTTCCACCTGCCTGAGTCTCCTAAAATGCTAGGACGAGGCCATGTGCCACTCTGTCTAGCTCTGAAACGTCTACGGAGCCATGTCTGTCGGCACACACAACAGACTGCTCTTAGCCTCCGTCTTCCTGTGCACCTCTGCAGCATTTTATTTTGATGACTACAAACTTGCTCTTGAAACGCTTCCTCTCTGGTCTCGATCACCCACAAGCCTGTTTCTATAGCCACCTCTAGACCTGTTCTTTCATTTCTTTCCCAAATGGAATCATAGACGGGTGACCAAGCTCTGGGGATCTGAGCCATCTCCCCAGCCCCGTGTCTTCACTAGCCTTCTTTTTCTTCATCCCCTCAAACTAGACAAAACCACCTGGTGAAGACAATTTAGCACTTGCTACAGTGCCATTGAGGTTTTTCCTCACAATTTTACCTAATTTGTTGTATCCCTATTATATGGTACCTGCCTCCCCTTCAGACTCTATGAGAGCAGCAATATTGATCCCCCGCAACCGCAAGGCAAACATAGAGCCATACTGCCTTGTACATTCAACCCTTACAGTAAACATGTACAAGTTCGCACAAGGACACGCACGCTCATATGCACACGTGCAGTTTCACCATGCTGGAGATCAAGCCCAGACACTCACTATTGCTGAACCAAGTCTTTGGGCCAATACTGCCTGATGAAATGTTTGAATATCTGAGTTTTTTCTTTTCATTTTCTTGAAAAATTTCATTTTCTCCAGAATTTTCTCTCTATGCAAGGCAATTTAACATTGTAAGAATACAAAGCAGGGGCTAGGCATAGTGTACATGTATTTAATCCCAGCTCTTGGGAGGCAGAGTCAGGTGGATCTCAAGTTCAAGAATAGCCTGATCTACATATTAAGTTTCAAGTTAATCAGGGCTACCTAGCGACACTCTATCTTAAAAACAAAATAAAACAACTCAATAATAATAATGATGATGATGACGATAATAATTCAGGACAGAACAAGAAAATGACCCGGTATCACTGATGTGAGAGAAAAGATGGTGTTTCTATTTAGAAACATTCAACTTCTTCCATTTTCTCCTCCCCTGACAGGTCCAGAGTAGACTGGACACACTGTGTGTGGCAAACCAGCATTTATCACAGAGAAGAGTGGACTCTGAGCGCTTCACCACAGTCCACTCTCACTTTGTAAAGTGAACCTTCCCGCCATGCCAAAGGCCACAGAAACAGAAATCACCTCTCTCTCACTCAACACCTCCACCATCAAGGTCACAGGCAAACCTCAACACTGTCTTTATAGTGTCCTTCACTTCCTGTTCAGACTCTCCTCACTTCCTATCTTATCCTGTTCTCTACCGTTCTCCTCCCTGCCTGCCCCCCTTCCCCGACTCCTTTTCCATATACTGTTTTTAACAGCTGGACCTTCCTTGTTAGAATCACTTTGGGCTGCAGCTGAGCAGGGCCTAGCACACAGGAAGCCCTGAAGGCAGGGATGCTCGTGCTCACCTGTAATCCCAGTGTCTGAGAGGTGGAAAGCCCATACAGCAGAGAGCTTAAGGCCAGCCTGGGCTACATGAAACCTGGCGTCAAGCACACAGCATCACCACATACGCTCTTGCATGGTCCCAGACTTGCTGGGTCTTCAAATGATGCTCTAGCACACTCAAGTGTTTAGGGTGACATACGGTGCATGACACAGGGACATGGTGACAAGCAGAGGACCCATGTCAACATGTGAGTTCCCCAAGAGCTGAAGAGACACCTACAAAACACTGCTAAGTCTGGGAAGGACTTCATGAGTTGTTTTAAATCGAAATCTGCAGTACTTCCTTCCCCCCACCCCACTCAGATGTTAACACAGAGCTGCTAGTAAGCAGGATGGGACTGGAGACGTGTAAACAGATGCCACTCACACACCACCTCCAGCCCCAGCTCATGTCAAGTTATTATCGGGACGGCAGAGCACGGTCTACGGTTCACATGACCAAGAGTGCTGTTCAGGCAGCTGTGGCACCATGCCAGTAACCTCAGCTCTGTGGGAGTCTGAGGCTGCGCTGGCTGTACCTGCATGTGGATTTTATTTTTTGTTTACATTTAAGACTTGAACACTTTTATGGAATACCTCTCAATGTACTTCAATATATGTATACAGTCAGAGCACAGAGTGGACACTGACTTCAAAAGGACTGCTAAAGAGACAGCATTACCAACCGGTATTTAAAGAGAAAGTAAAGGCTAGAAAGATGGCTCAGGACTTAAGAGCATAGGCTCATCCAGAGGACCAGGTCTGATTCCCAGCACTTTCATGGTTGCTGACAACTGTCTGTAACTATGGTTCCTCTTCTGACCTCCTCTGGCACCAAACACACATTTGGTATGGACATACCAACCACATTTAAAAATCTATTTAAAAAAATAAAAGAAGGGAGCTGGAGATATGGCTCAGAGGCTAAGAGCACAGACAGGCTCTTTAAGAAGTCCTAAGTTTAATTCCCAGCAACCACGTGGTGGCTCACAGCCATCTGTAATGAGATCTGGTGCCTTCTTCTGGCCTGCAGCAGGCACACATGCAGGCAGAACACTGTATACATAATAAATAAATAAACCTCTAAAAAACTAAAACACTAAAAGAAAATTAACATATCAGCTTAAAGAGCAAACAATAAGGAAAAAATGCTACACAA